TCAACAAGTGAGGTGCAAGCAAGCGCCTTCAACAAGTGAGGCCTCACAGGCAACCCAAATGCCCTCAACCAGTGAGGCTTCAGCAGCTGGCAGTCAAAACTAACTTAGCTTAATGAACTGTACAGTAATTTTAAGTGTTAATTTTAGTGTTGTGTTAGTATAGGTTACGTAAATTGTTAAGAATTTTTAACTTCAAGATGTGTGGCATCAATCAAGAAGACGAACACCAACAAGGTAAGTTGAGGTTTCTAGTTGAATATTTAATAAATGTATGTGGCAAGGCAATTCAAATTATGTTGTTTGTAGTATAAAAATAGTTGGAAATGGTCACTTTTGGACTCGTAGGTGAAAAAGTACCATTATCCGAAAAATGTGATAATCCGGCTGGGGGTCCTTCCCATATAGTCCGGATGATCGAGTGGAGACAGTACTAAATAATCCCTGAACTTCCCTCGCAGGTCGCTAAATACCTTGCGTACCTTCCACAGTCTGTCGTGTCTATCCTCATTTGCATTGTTCTCGAAATGCAGGCACCTGAGAATCAAGTGGAACCTATCCTGCAACATATATCGGTTGATGACGGGTGATGGAACAAGGCTGTCTATGTTCCAATAGTCCTGAACGACAGCTTTCTCGGAGTGTTTCATCATCATCATGCATATTGCCAGAAATACGTACATCTCGTCGATTGTTGTATCCTTCCATCGCGTGAGGCATGAGGCAGGTAATATGCCGCCGTCTATGAGGGTGTGGGCGTACATGTTTGCCTCGGTCACAAGATGCCTCATGAAGACATTGTCAAAATATGCCTGGAAATATTCCATGTCCGCCATATCATCACCGGTATACGGGAATAAAGCTTTAACACCAACATCGGTATCATCAAACGTTGGTATTTGAGGGACAAATGTGGCGCAATCCTCCCACACAAGTACACCAGGGAGTTTGGTGTTGGCGCCAACACCACCATGAGCACCAAAATCACGGCTACGTCATCTGCTGCTGCTGCTGGAGGTGCGTGAGGGTATGCTTGGAGCTGAGGCAGATTTTCGTACCATAGGCCTACCACGAACTCCTGATGTTGAGGGCCCACTGTCGTCATGCTGTGAGACATGCTGTCACCTGCCTCGACGTGTTACTAAGACAGCAAAGTCCCGCCTGGTACCACCCCCGCTGCTAGTACTCGGGCCGTCCACACTACTCGTAGCGGAGCCAATGTCACTGAAGCCCGAGAAAGATTCGTCACATGTACTGTCACTGAATAAACTGGCGTCTGGGTGATAACGGTGTTGACCCAGGGTGGTGAGACAAACCAAGCGAGGAGCGTGTACCGTACACGCTCGCCGCATCATCCACTTCCGTCTCTTCCTCACTCGTATCAGACCTCTGTGTCAGATCTTTCTCTGGATCATAGTCCAGGTCATCATCCATAGCACCGTCGTCGTACAAAATATCGAGAATCTTCTCAAAGAGTCGTTTTCCATGACCTCGGGTCACCGTGGAATGGGAGCTCGTTGATGATGCGTCAGACATGGTTGCTGCTTGGGAACTGGGGCTCCCCACGGCCGCGGGGCATGCTGGGAATTTTTTTCAAGATGGCCGACGATCACAGGGGCTCCCAGTCATCCATTCCATACCCGCGTCACCGCGCGCCACTTTTAAATCGAACGTGAAAAATATAAATACCCGGAGGCGCGTAGCGCACCCCAAGTGTGGGCCTGCAGGCGTGTTGCACAGTTAAAGGGTTAAATATTCCAAAACTAAAAGATAGAAGAAAAAGAGGCGATATGATCACTACGTACAAAATAGTAACGGGAATTGATAAAATTGATAGGCAAAAATTCCTGAGACCTGGAACTTCAAGAACAAGAGGTCATAGATTTAAACTAAACAAAGGTGCTGAAGAAAATTAAATTTTTTAGAAGTGAATAAGAAAATTCACTTTCACAAACAAGTGGAGTAGACGGTTGGAACAAGTTAGGTGAGAAGGTGGTGGAGGCCAAAAGCGTCAGTAATTTCAAAGCATTATATGAGAGTGCTGGGAAGACGGGACATCATGAGCATAGCTCTCATCCTGTAACTACAGTTAGGTAATTATATAATTTATAGGTTGTGTGGGGTCTATGCTCTCCTATTTCACATTTCATAACATGGCATTTGTTCACATTAAATTCCATTTGCCAAGTGGTGCTCATACACTTATTTTGTTCAGGTCTTCTTGAAGGGCAGGACAATCATGAATTTATGATTTCTGCCAGTACAATAGTCAGTTCTGCACATGTGGAGCACAGTGACTTACAAAGGAAAATTATTATTATTAATAATTATATATCCTCCCCAAAGCAATGGAATAGTATAGGAAACACTTGTTTAAGACATTCACTGGTTGAAAATATATATATCCCTCAAATTGCGCATCGCATCATATGATGCTTTGACCAACTTGAAGAAAATTGTGCATCACATCATATGATGCTTTGGAGTACTACGCAAGATTTAAACGGCCCGCGGATACACTGGGTTCACCACACCTTCATCAGGGCTCTTGTAAACAGACGCTGTTTTTTTTAAAAATCGTGGGCCAAATTCCCGGGTGTTAGGGGCCTCAGTATTGAGTGAACTACCAAGCCTAACGCACGCAGCATGAGCTCACAGCACTGCTGTTCAGCTTGTGATCACAGCATCGCCTAAAAATGCCATAATATACTTGTTCATACTATTATGTAGCGATGATATTATTACAGAAGACCCCTGACTGTGATAAAACTGACCAGGGTTCTGATAATAGCAGGATTGTGGTGATATATAGCGCTGTGCTGCATGGAGGGTGGAGTAATGCTGTGGGAGGGAGGGTGGTGGCATTGTCTTCTGACTGTGTGTGGCCACCTTTTATTGACTGCGTTCACCATACCAGCTTAGTGGTTTGCTATGGTGAATACAAATGTAGATACTTATATATAATGTGTGTATAGAGGGTATAAACAGCAAGAGGAGTAGGTTGGGAGCCGCCATTTTGGTGAGGGCGGTGGCGTCGTCTGCACGATATATCATGTTGGTTACCGGTGACCACAATGGTCTTTGGGCACCATACCAGTTTACTTGTACAAGTATGGTGAATAAAACAGGTAGATATTTATATAAAATGTGTGTATATAGCGTAATAACACCACAAACAGTATTGTTGGAGAAGAAATATTAGTGCGTCTGGCCTTGAGGTGTGGCAGCCAGCTGATTGTGTGAGGTCCTACGTCTTTGTGCCTTTAATTACCATACAAGCTTTGATGTACAGTTATGGTGAACAAAACATGTAAATACTTATATATAATGTCTGTATATAAAAGCAAAAACAGTATGGTGGGTGGAGAATTGTGGCAAGTCAGGTGAGGTGAGGGAGGGAGGGAGGGAGTGGCAGCCAGAGGCGGGCTGCCTCTGGCTGCTGCTGCCACTGCCACTGCCACTCAGCGTACCAACTTAGTGGTTCGTTATGGTGAACACGAATGTAGATACTTATATATAGCGTCTGTTTATAGTGAATAAAAGCAAAAATAGTATTGTGGGAGGAGAATGTGTGGGAGTCAGGTGACTTGAGGGAGGGAGCAAGTAGCAGCCAGTGGCGGGCTGCCACTGCCACTCAGCGTACCAACTTAGTGGTTCGTTATGGTGAACACGAATGTAGATACTTATTTATAACGTCTGTATATAGTGAATTAAAGCAAAAACAGTATGGTGGGAGGAGAATGTGGGTGAGTGAGGTGTTGAGGGAGGGCGTGAGTGGCTGGCTGGTACACGGCGGTCACTCCTCGTTACTTTTTGACTCATAATAGCAACTTAGTGGTTCGTTATGGTGAACAAAACATGCAGATACTTATATATAAACTGTGTATATAGTGTAATAACCGACAAAGTATTTGTTCACTGTTTGATGAATATAATTAAATCAACAATATGCACACCATATTTTTGAGTACAGCGATGATTCACTCATTTTATTATATAAATATATCACACTACACACTATTGAATAATATTACAGCAAAAAAACTACGAAAAATCAATCAGAGACATTGAAGTAATTAGGTAATTATCTCTTTGTGGCAACTCCGGCCTGACAGCTGGCAAGCAACAGACCGCCTGGGACGCACGCTGAGTCAGCGGCTGTTTTTTTGCCAGACTTCCCTGCCATATAGCGGGCACAACCCGTTCTTGCAAATTTAATAAGTCAATATTGACTTATTAAATATGTGCATAGGTGACATACTTAACATAATAGATACCCTTAAAAAGATTCATAGAAAACACCGACCTTACCTAACCTACTTAGTATGTTAAGATAAGCATCTTATTGCTTCGTAATTACAATTATTACCTAACCTATAATAGGTATAGGTTAAGTAATAATTGTAATTACGAAGCAATAAGATGCTTATCTTAAGATACTAACAAGGTTAGGTAAGGTCGGTGTTTTCTATGAATCTTTTTAAGGGTATCTATTATGTTTAGTATATCACCTATGCACGTAGTTAATAAGTCAATATTGACTTTACGAATTTGCGAGAACGGGTTGAGCGGGCAATATATGCCACTTACGATTGTTTTATTATTTTTCCCGTGATCAGTGAACACAAATAACAGGTTAGGAAGAAAAAAGATTTTTTTTTTGTATGCGCCTGTGGGTGTCAAATGGTATATAGCCATGCGGTTAAATATTCCAAAACTAAAAGATAGAAGAAAAAGAGGCGATATGATCACTACGTACAAAATAGTAACGGGAATTGATAAAATTGATAGGCAAAAATTCCTGAGACCTGAAACTTCAAGATCAAGAGGTCATAGATTTAAACTAAACAAAGGAGCCGAAGAAAATTAATTTTTTTAGAAGTGAATAAGAAAATTCACTTTCACAAACAAGTGGGGTAGATGGTTGGAACAAGTTAGGTGAGAAGGTGGTGGAAGCCAAAAGCGTCAGTAATTTCAAAGCGTTATATGACAGTGCCGGGAAGATGGGACATCATGAGCATAGCTCTCATCCTGTAACTACACTTAGGTAATTATATAGTTTATAGGTTGTGTGGGGTCTATGTTCTCCTATTCCACATTCCATAACATGGCATTTGTTCACATTAAATTCCATTTGCCAAGTGGTGCTCATACACTTATTTTGTCCAGGTCTTCTTGAAGGGTAGGACAATCATGAATTTATGATTTCTGCCAGTACAATAGTCAGTTCTGCACATGTGGAGCACAGTGACTTACAAAGGAAAATTATTATTATTATTAATTATATATCCTCCCCAAAGCAATGGAATTGTATAGGAAACACTTATTTAAGACATTCACTGGTTGAAAATATATATATAGAAACAGCAGCGTTAAATAATGAAAACAGTCTGGAACTCTATAAGACATACAAATGACCAATTTTGGGATATGAGTTTTGTGTGAAACATTATTGGAACCAAGCGAGTGCACACAGAGTGGAGCGCGGCAGCAAGTTGTCCACTCAGGCAGCGACTACTCCAGTGTCCAGTAGACGTCAGTGCAATGCTTGGGGTGGTCTTCTACAGTAATGATAAGTGCATTAACTGTACTAGTGATTTTTTTCTTTGTTAGTTTAGGGATAGGAATTTTAGGAATGTGTGTTTGTAGAACCCTGTGTGTCTTGTGTTATTTTAGGCTCATTCACCCACTTTAACCACTGCACTGCGCAAAGTGCCTTTAGGCACTCTGAGAATTGTGTTATTTTTTCTAATTAGGCTATATTTTAATGTTTTTTAATGTTTTCATTACTTTGCGTTTTGAAATGGAAATAGTTGAGTTTGGAAACTTTTTGACATTAACTTTACCTGGCACTTTACCTGGACATTTATAAAAACAACAAAAATATGTCCTTGAAAATTGCACTAAAAAGTTTTTGTCGAAACCAGGCGTGCAGAGCTTAAGGAGTACTGTAACACGTGGTTTAAACTCCATCAACCTTGATCCCCGTTAGTAAAGTGATTAAGTGTAGAGACCTTATATTGTAAAAATCCATGCTACTATTGGTCCATGCTGGACCAATAATCAATTCATCCATCATGTTTGGTGAAGAGTATCACTCAATTTCAACAATCCAGAAACGTAATCGTGTGTTCCCATAGTTAATAAGTGTAGAATAATCCGGAGTACAATAAAGCCCATGTGTGAAGATTTAACCCCAGTGCACTTATTGTCCAATTTAGACTAAGAATACTTGACCCTTCCCCAATTATCATATATGATACATACATTTCCTTCCATTATTCATAAGAAAGTAAGGACAGGTAGTGTTAGTCTGTACTCTCGGGTACGGCTTACAGGCAGCCCTGCTGCTGCAATATGTTAACAAAAAATATTATCCCATACTCCGGGATATATTTATAAAAAATATTGGCCCTTGTGTGAATATGTTAATCTGTAAGTAATATTAACTCTGCTCTAGAATAGCTAATGCAAAGAATGTATATAAATATTATGCAATTTGTATTAGTAAATAAAGTACTGTAATATTACTTTTTTGTTGTAAATACATCTAGTTTAACCAAATATTCTTTTCCACAGGATAACAAGCCAGAGGAATGTTCAGTGTGTTTTAACGATTATGATGACAATCAGCTACGGCCTCGCAATCTGCCGTGTGGCCACACATTCTGCTCCCAGTGTATTAACAATGCTATCAAGAATGGTCAGCTGTCCTGCCCCAGCTGCCGTGGCCAGCACGCTGCCACAGCCTCTACTCAGTTCCCAATTAGCTATGCTGTGGAGGCTTTTGTTAGGAAACTCAAAAATACCCAGCTAACAACTGAGGAAGTAGTGCCAGCAAAACATTATGAAGGTCCCGCCAGAGGCATCAGTAAGACATTACGTTCCCTGGTGCAGGAGCAGAAGAGCATCATCAGCAGCCTCATTACTAGCTGTGAAGAGGTACTGTCCCAGCTGGGGGAGTACCGGGGGCAGCTGGGGGACTGGAAGACTCACCACCTCCAGCTCCAGGACAGACTCTATGCTCTGGTAGAGCAGAACACGTCAGCAATGAAACTCTTGGAACTGGAGGATACCAGTGTGGTAGATATGACAACACAAGGAGAGGAAGGGAAGACTCAGCTGCAGGCCATGTTGGGGAGCCTCGACACAGTCAACACCCCACAGGAGGTTGGCACAACCATAGACACAGCTGATGGGTGCAAGATGAAGGTAGAAGATTGGCTCCGGAAGTGCCAGGAACTCTTCCCAGATGTCAACACTGTCCACACCTCAGTGAAGGTACACTACCGAAGGTCACATTGTTCTCACCCAACTGAGTGTAGTATTGCCACTATATAAACACTTTTGACATGGAAACACATCAAGATGAGAGTTGACTTTATAGATAGGAAACATTTTTATTAATAAAGTCAACTGTCATCTTGGTGTTTCTCTACACTGTGGTCAGTGTAGAGAAACACCATTACTTATATTGTGAAATTATTTTATTAAGAGCCTGATGCTTCATTATAGTCCAGTTACTTTACTCAGAGCCTGATGCTTCATTATAGTCCTGTTACTTTACTCAGAGCTTGATGCTTCATTATAGTCCAGTTACTTTACTCAGAGCCTGATGCTTCATTATAGTCCAGTTACTTTACTCAGAGCCTGATGCTTCATTACAGTCCAGTTACTTTACTCAGAGCCTGATGCTTCATTATAGTCCAGTTACTTTACTCAGAGCCTGATGCTTCATTATAGTCCAGTTACTTTACTCAGAGCCTGATGCTTCATTATAGTCCAGTTACTTTACTCAGAGCCTGATGCTTCATTATAGTCCAGTTACTTTACTCAGAGCCTGATGCTTCATTATAGTCCAGTTACTTTACTCAGAGCCTGATGCTTCATTATAGTCCAGTTACTTTACTCAGAGCCTGATGCTTCATTTTGGTCCAGTTACTTTACTCAGAGCCTGATGCTTCATTATAGTCCAGTTACTTTACTCAGAGCCTGATGCTTCATTTTGGTCCAGGTTCCACATTAATGTTTGTGTTGGTAATGACAGGTGCAGGACACCATCAGGGAGGCCCTGGAGATGATGACCACAGAGACAGGTGCCACAGCTGACCCCGTACACCTGGTAGACTCAGCCTCCACCATTAATGTTTGTGTTGGTAATGACAGGTGCAGGAGACCATCAGGGAGGCCCTGGAGATGATGACCACAGAGACAGGTGCCACAGCTGACCCCGTACACCTGAGAGACTCAGCCTCCACCATTAATGTTTGTGTTGGTAATGACCGGTGCAGGAGACCATCAGGGAGGCCCTGGAGATGATGACCACAGAGACAGGTGCCACAGCTGATCCCATACACCTGAGAGACTCAGCCTCCAGCATCATGAATAAAGTTCAGGAAATCACTGGAGAGATCCCCCAGAAGCAATTAACAGTAAGTTTTTTATTTTCTCTCATAGGTCATATCACAAGATATTGAGTTGCGTTTTGAGGAGAGGAAGTTTGTTCCTAGGTTTATCGAGGTTCCCCAAGTTCTACTTCTGACTTTCCTTAACATACAATCTAAAATAGTTGTCTAACTCCTGGATATATATTTTCTGGTAAGTGAACAGACATCAGGTGAAAGGAAACATGGGAACCATTTCTGTCCTGCGTGATGATTAAGCCTGTGATCCTCTATTGAACCCGGGATCCTGCCCCCCCCCCCTCTCACAGAGGCACAGAGAGTGGGTGACACTACACCAACCTACCAGGGAAGCATCCAGGAGGACATTGAAAATAAACAGACCACTGCTGGCTTCGAAGAGACTGATGCCTTCAAACTGCCAACAAACTTCTAAACAATGCCAGCACCAACCTCCTTGCCAGTAGAGGGGGGTTGGATTTACATATCCAGCACCAACCCCCTGCCAGTAGAGGATAGCTGGAGCTACAAGTCCAGGACCTATCCAATGCCATTAGAGGGGAGCTGGAGCTACAGGTCCAGGACCAACCCCCTAGCCAGTAGAGGAAGGCTGGAGCTACAAGTTCAGCACCAACCCCCTGCCAGTAGAGGGGGGCTGGAGCTACAAGTTCAGCACCAACCCCCTGCCAGTAGAGGGGGGCTGGAGCTACAAGTCCAGGACCAACCCCCCTGCCAGTAGAGAGGGGGCTGGATTAAACACGTCCAGCCCCCACTCCCTGCCAGTAGAGGGGGGCTGGAACAACAGGTCCAGCAGCAACTCCTTCCCAGTAGAGGGGGCTGGAACAGTAGGTCCATCGCCAACCTCCTGCTAGTAGAGGGGGGCTGGAGCTACAGGTTCAGCACCAAACCCCTGCCAGTAGAGGTGGGCTGGAGCTACAGGTCCAGCATCAACCCCCTGCCAGTAGAGTGGGTTGGAGCTACATATCCAGCACCAATCCCCGGCCAGTAGAGGGGGGCTGGAGCTACAGGTCCAGCACCAACCCCCTGCCAGTAGAGGGGGGCTGGAGGTACAAGTCCAGCACCAACCCCCTACCAGTAAAGGGGGATGGAGCTACAAGTCCAGAACCAACCCCTGCTAGTAAAGGGGGCTGGAGCTACAGGTCCAGCACCAACCCCCTGCCAGTAGTGGGAGGCTGAAGTTACAGGTCCAGCACCAACCCCCTGCCAGTAGTGGGGGGCTGAAGCTACAGGTCCAGCACTAACCCCCTGCCAGTAAAGTAGGGCTGGAGCTACAAGTCCAGGACCAACCCCCTGTCAGTAAAGGGGGGAGGGGTTGGAGCTACAGGTCCAACACCAACCCCCTGCCAGTAGACAGGGGGCTAAATTGAATATGTCCCGCACCTAGCCCCTGCCAGTAGAGGGGGCTGGAGCTACAGGTCCAGCACCAAACCCCTGCCAGTCGAGGTGGGCTGGAGCTTCAGTTCCAGCACCAACCCCCTGCCAGTAGAGGGGGGCTGGAGCTACAGGTCCAGCACCAACCCCCTGCCAGTAGAGGGGGGCTGGATCTTCAGGTCCAGCACCAACCTCCCTGCTAGTAGAGGGGGGCTGGAGCGACAGGTCCAGCACTAACCCCCTGCCAGTAGAGGGGCGGGAGCTACAAGTCGAGCGCCAACCCCCTGTCAGTACAGGGGCTGGAGCTACAAGTCCAGCACCAACCCCCTGCCAGTAGAGTGGGGCTGGAGCTACAAGTCCAGCATCAACCCCCCCTGCCAGTAAATTGGGGCTGGTGCTACATGTCCAGCACCAACCCCCCTGAAAATAGAAGGGGGCTTGACCTACAGATCCAACTCCAAACCCCTGCCAGTAGAGAAAGGCTGGAGCTACAGGTCCAGCACTAACCTCCCTGGCAGTAGAGGGGGGAAGGGGGGGGTTGGAGCTACAAGTCCAGCACCAACCCCCTTGCCAGTGGAGAGAAGCTTGAGCTACAGGTCCAGCACCAACCCCTTGCCAGTAGAGGGGGAGGGGGAGGCTGGAGATACAGGTCCAGCACCAACCGTCGGACAGTGGCGGCGGCGGGCGGACAGTGGTGGCGGCGGGCGGACAGTGGCGGCGGCGGGCGGACAGTGGCGGCGGCGGGCGGACAGTGGCGGCGGCGGGCGAACAGTGGCGGCGGCGGGCGGACAGTGGTGGCGGCGGGCGGACAGTGGAGGCGGCGGGCGGACAGTGGAGGCGGCGGGCGGACAGTGGTGGCGGCGGGCGGACAGTGGTGGCGGCGGGCGGACAGTGGTGGCGGCGGGCGGACAGTGGTGGCGGTGGCAGACAGTGGTGGCGGTGGCGGACAGTGGCGGCGGTGGCGGACAGTGGCGGCGGTGGCGGACAGTGGCGGCGGTGGCGGACACTGGCGGCTGTGTCTGGCGGTGGTGGCGGGCGGTGGCGGGTGGCAGCGTCTGTGATGAGTGGTGGCGGCTGGCGGTGGTGGGTGGCGGCGGCGGCTGGTGGTGGTGGGTGGTGGGTGGTGGCGGCTGTGGTGGGTGGTGGCGGGCGGTGGCGGGCTGCGGCGGCTGTGGTGCGTGGTGACGATCGGCGGTGGGGGGGGCTGGTGGCGGCTGGCGGTGGCGGCTGGCAGTGGCGGCTTGCGGTGGCGACTGTGGCAACGGGCGGTGACGGCTGATTGCGGGCGGTGGTGGCGGCTGGTGGCAGGTGGTGGCGGCTGGTGGTGGTGGCAGCTGGTGGTGGTGGCAGCTGGTGGCGGTGATGGCGGCTGGTGGTGGTGGCGGCTGGTGGTGGTGGCAGCTGGTGGCGGCTGGTGGCGGTGATGGCGGCTGGTGGTGGTGGTGGTGGTGATGGCGGCTGGTGGCGGGCGGTGGAAGGCGGTGGCGGCTTGTGGCGGCTGGTGGTGGCGGCTGGTGGTGGCGGCTGGTGGTGGCGGCGGTGGTGGGTGGTGGTGGTGGGTGGTGGTGGCGGCTGTGGTGGGTGGTGGCGGTGGTGGCGGCTGTGGTGGGTGGTGGCGGCGGTGATGGGTGGTGGCGGCGGCGGTGGTGGTGGGTGGTGGTGGCGGCGGCGGTGATGGGTGGTGGTGGTGGTGGGTGGTGGTGGCGGCGGCGGCTGGTGGTGGTGGGTGGTGGTGGTGGGTGGTGGTGGTGGGTGGTGGCGGCGGGTGGCGGTGGTGGGTGGCGGTGGCTGGTGGCGGCTGGTGGTGGGTGGTGGCGGCGGGTGGTGAGTGGCGGTGGTGGGTGGTGGTGGCTGGTGGCGGCTGGTGGCGGGTGGTGGCGGCTGGTGGTGGGTGGTGGCGGGTGGCGGCTGGTGGTGGGTGGTGGCGGGTGTCGGCTGGTGGTGGCTGGCGGCTGGTGGTGGGTGGCGGCTGGTGGTGGGTGGCGGCTGGTGGTGGGTGGCGGGTGGCGGCTGGTGGTGGGTGGTGGCGGCTGGTGGTGGGTGGTGGCAGGTGGCGGCTGGTGGTGGGTGGCGGCTGGTGGTGAGTGGTGGGTGGCGGCTCGTGGTGGGTGACGGGTGGCGGCGGGTGGCGGCCAGCTGGGACACACCCTTCACCAGTGAAGGTCTGAGAACAACTAACCATATGTCTCTCTCACCCACCAGCCCAGTGTTGCCAGCTCGCGCTCTCAAAATGTTTCCTTCAAAGATTGTATATTATCTTTGAACAGCAAGTTTGATTATCAAGGAAATAATGCATATATTATTGTCACATTAATATTGTGCAATATCTTATTACATTCCTGCTAAATAATTATAATTTGAAACAGGACAAAAAATCCAACATATATATAAAAACCAACATTAGAGATCACGAGGCCTAGGCCTCGCCTGTGACCACACATCCTGCCTCCCTGGCCTGCTACCCTCTCACACCTCCCAGCAAACAATTTTAGGTTGCCACAACATATCTGGAAAGTATTTGAAAGTATTGGAAACGTTTGTTTTATCGTATCAGATACGATATTGTGTGTGGACTTAAATAGGTTTCCAAAACTTATAACCAAGACATATGTATCTAACACTAATTTGAGATGTTGTGGCAACTTTACACTCCTAACATGAGTCATTCATAATCCATTCATATACCAATATGAATCTCTTATGAAAGGTTTGAGCCAATAATCTGAACCCTTTTCACATCTTTGTGTTTAAAGTTAAATTTCTTGAAATTAAATTTTATTTTATATTATATTATTTTTATTATTTTTTATATTATATTATTATTTTCAATTTAAATATTAAAACCAATTTAAGGGTAAAAAAAATCTAATAATTTATATTTCTTTTATTATTTACTAACAATTATAATTATTTACTAACGGAGAGAGGGGAGGCTGTACGGCGGAGAGTGGCGGCTGTGGCGGACAGTGGCGGCGGTGGCGGATAGTGGCGGCGGGCGGACAGTGGCGCCGGGCGGACAGTGGCGGCGGCGGGCGGACAGTGGCGGCGGTGGCGGATAGTGGCGGCGGGCGGACAGTGGCGGCGGTGGCGGATAGTGGCGGCGGGCGGACAGTGGCGGCGGTGGCGGATAGTGGCGGCGGGCGGACAGTGGCGGCGGGCGGACAGTGGCGGCGGTGGCGGATAGTGGCGGCGGGCGGACAGTGGCGGCGGTGGCGGATAGTGGCGGCGGGCGGACAGTGGCGGCGGGCGGACAGTGGCGGCGGTGGCGGATAGTGGCGGCGGGCGGACAGTGGCGGCGGTGGCGGACAGTGGCGGATAGTGGCGGCGGGCGGACAGTGGCGGCGGTGGCGGATAGTGGCGGCGGGCGGACAGTGGCGGCGGGCGGATAGTGGCGGCGGGCGGACAGTGGCGGCGGTGGCGGATAGTGGCGGCGGGCGGACAGTGGCGGCGGGCGGACAGTGGCGGCGGTGGCGGATAGTGGCGGCGGGCGGACCGTGGCGGCTTTGGCGGCGGTGGTGGACAGTGGCGGTGGGCGGACAGTTGCGGCGGTGGGCGGACAGTGGCGGCGGCGGGCGGACAGTGGCGGCGGCGGGCGGACAGTGGCGGCGGCGGGCTGACAGTGGCGGCGGCGGGCAGACAGTGGTGGCGGCGGGCGGACAGTGGTGGCGGCGGGCGGACAGTGGTGGCGGCGGGCGGACAGTGGTGGCGGTGGCAGACAGTGGTGGCGGTGGCAGACAGTGGTGGCGGTGGCGGATAGTGGCAGCGGGCGGACAGTGGCGGCGG